CTGATGAACATAGATGCAAAAATCCTTAAGAAAATTCTAGCAAACAGAATCCAACAACATATTTAAAAAATCGTACACCATGACCAAGTGGGCTTTATCCCAGGAATGCAAGGATTCTTTAATATCTGCAAATCAATCAATGTAATACACCACATTAACAAATTGAAAGATAAAAACCATATGATTATCTCAATAGATGCAGAAAAAGCCTTTGATAAAATTCAACATCCATTTATGATTAAAACTCTCCAGAAAGCAGGAATAGAAGGAACATACCTCAACATAATAAAAGCTATATATGACAAACCCACAGCAAGCATCACCCTCAATGGTGAAAAATTGAAAGCATTTCCCCTGAAATCAGGAGCAAGACAAAGGTGCCCACTCTCACCACTACTATTCAACATAGTTTTGGAAGTGTTGGCCACAGCAATCAGGGCAGAAAAAGAAGTAAAAGGAATCCAGATAGGAAAAGAAGAAGTGAAACTCTCTCTGTTTGCAGATGACATGATCCTCTACATAGAAAACCCTAAAGACTACCAGAAAATTACTAGAGCTAATCAATGAATACAGTAAAGTTGCAGGATATAAAATTAACACACAGAAATCTCTTGCATTCCTATACACTAACAATGAGAAAACAGAAAGAGAAATTAAGGAAGCAATACCATTCACCATTGCAACAAAAAGAATAAAATACTTAGGAATATATCTACCTAAAGAAACAAAAGACCTATACATAGAAAACTATACAACACTGATGAAAGAAATCAAAGAGGACACAAACAGATGGAGAAATATACCTTGTTCATGGATTGGAAGACTCAATATTGTCAAAATGGCTATACTACCCAAAGCAATCTATAGATTCAATGCAATCCCTATGAAGCTACCAACAGTATTTTTCACAGAACTAGAACAAATAATTTCACAATTTGTATGGAAATACAAAAAACCTCAAATAGCCAAAGTAATCTTGAGAAAGAAGAATGGAACTGGAGGAATCAACCTGCCTGACTTCAGACTATACTACAAAGCCACAGTCATCAAGACAGTATGGTACTGGCACAAAGACAGAACTATAGATCAATGGAACAGAATAGAAAGCCCAGAGATAAATCCACGAACCTATGGTCACCTTATCTTCGACAAAGGAGGCAAGGATATACAATGGAAAAAAGACAACCTCTTTAACAAGTGGTGCTGGGAAAACTGGTCAACCACCTGGAAAAGAATGAAACTAGAACACTTTCTAACACCATACACAAAAATAAACTCAAGATGGATTAAAGATCTAAATGTAAGACCAGAAACTATAAAACTCCTAGAGGAGAACATAGGCAAAACACTCTCCGACATAAATCACAGCAGGATCCTCTATGACACACCTCCCAGAATATTAGAAACAAAAGCAAAAATAAACAAATGGGACCTAATGAAACTTAAAAGCTTTTGCACAACAAAGGAAACTATAAGCAAGGTGAAAAGACAGCCCTCAGATTGGGAGAAAATAATAGCAAACGAAGCAACAGACAAAGGATTAATCTCAAAAATATACAAGCAACTCCTCCAGCTCAACTCCAGAAAAATAAACGACCCAATCAAAAAATGGGCCAAAGAACTAAACAGACATTTCTCCAAAGAAGACATACAGATGGCTAACAAACACATGAAAAGATGCTCAACATCACTCATTATCAGAGAAATGCAAATCAAAACCACAATGAGGTACCATTACAGACCAGTCAGGATGGCTGCTATCCAAAAGTCTACAAGCAATAAATGCTGGAGAGGGTGTGGAGAAAAGGGAACCCTCTTACACTGTTGGTGGGAATGCAGACTAGTACAGCCACTATGGAGAACAGTGTGGAGACTTCTTAAAAACTGGAAATAGAACTGCCATATGACCCAGCAATCCCACTTCTGGGCATACACACTGAGGAAACCAGATCTGAAAGAGACACGTGCACCCCAATGTTCATCGCAGCACTGTTTATAATAGGCAGGACATGGAAGCAACCTAGATGCCCATCAGCAGACGAATGGATGAGGAAGCTGTGGTACATATACACCATGGAATATTACTCAGCCATTAAAAAGAATTCATTTGAATCAGTTCTAATGAGATGGATAAAACTGGAGCCCATTATACAGAGTGAAGTAAGCCAGAAAGATAAAGACCATTACAGTATACTAACACATATATATGGAATTTAGAAAGATGGTAACAATAACCCTATATGCAAAACAGAAAAAGAGACTCAGATGTATAGAGCAGACTTGTGGACTCTGTGGGAGAAGGCGAGGGTGGGATGTTTCAAGAGAAGAGCATCAAAACATGTATATTATCTAGGGTGAAACAGATCACCAGCCCAGGTTGGATGCATGAGACAAGTGCTCGGGCCTGGCGCACTGGGAAGACCCAGAGGGATCGGGTGGAGAGGGAGGTGGGAGGGGGGACCAGGATGGGGAATACATGTAAATCCATGGCTAATTCATTTCAGTGTATGACAAAAACCACTGCAGTGTTGTAAAGTAATTAGCCTCCAACTAATAAAAATAAATGGAAAAAAAAAAGAAAAAAAATATTTAATTTGTGCATAAGCAGAAAAAAAAAAAAGAAATGCCTCAGACTTTATATACGATCCTGTAATCCCATTCATTCAGATAAATAGCTTTAGCTTTCCAAGTAGCAGTTAAGGACCCCGAAGTCAGATAGGACACAGAAAAAACATCAAGGAAGGGACACTTTTTAGAAAACAACAGATATCTCAGTTATCGGAATGTCTAACCAGAAAGTAAAGTGTATGTGGATGAAAAGGGCCACACTTTTCTTTCAAACAGGATTTTCTTTCAAGTTCCTATCAGATATAAAGTTCTACCAAGTTGCTATGGTATTAGTTTAACTTATGATGGTTTAGAGAACACATTGGAGAAAATGGGCTTAAAATATTAAATTACTCTTTTTGAGACATATGCTCCTTATGCAATTAACAATATATTGACATCAATATTGTAATTTTAGAAACATTCATCCACAAACATTAATCAGTTAATACTAAATTCAATTTCTATTAGGCTTCTTTTCACACTCAACTCTCCAAGGCTAAACTACATGGTATTTCAAAAATATTAATTTACTTACTATGGGAGCAATTACACTCCTAGAAAAAAATCTGTGCAATAAATGTATGCACATATAAAACAAATTAAACTTTTGAAAAAACTATTTTCTTATGGAAAGTTATATTTCTGACCGAGCACCTGAGAAGTGCATAAAACTTTCAGAGAAATGCACAAAATCCTTCATATAATTAAATTATAAATAATGTTTCAATATAAGTCAAAGCTTATCAAATTGCATATATACAAAAACAGATAAAGTCAAAATATTTGAAAACACCCTGATGCTGGGAAAGATTGAAGGCGGGAGAAGAAGGGGACAACAGAGGATGAGATGGTTGGATGCCATCACCGACTCAATAGACGTGTTTAAGTAAACTCTGGGAGCTGGTGATGGACAGGGAGGCCTGGCGTGCTGCAGTCCATGGGGTCGCAAAGAGTCAGACACGACTGAGCAACTGAACTGAACTGACAGTGCTTACAGGGAGCTCAGATCTGGCATGACTTTTTTTCAAAGCAGTCACTACTGGGTAGGATAATTTTTCATGGTGCAGACTGTCCCATGTTTTAGAGGGTTGTGGCCAGTAGAACCCCAATGGGCATGGTGACTACCAAAAAAAAAAAAAGCATGCCCACACATTTCCAAATGCTCCCTGGGGGAATAAAACTCCCTAGTTTGGAGAAGAAACTATAGGCCATTCAAAAGGAATGGCCCACATTTACATCAGCAGGTAACAACAGTGAAAGGTCTTGAACCCTGGTCTCCAGAAAGCCAGTGCTAAGAGGGATCCAACAGAGAATGTCAGGTAAATGCTCATGTGCTAAGTCACTTCAGTTGTGTTCGACTCTCTGCCACCTCATGGACTATAGTCTTCCAGGCTTCTCTGTTCATGGGATTCTCCAGACAAGAATACTGGAGTGGTTGCCATGCCCTTCTCCAGGGGATCTTCCCAACCCAGGGATCTAACTTACATCTCTTAAAGTCTCTTGCATTGGCAGGCAGGTTCTTTTACCACTAGCGCCACCTGGGAAGCCCCATATAGGCTTATATCCTACTCCGATTTAAGCTTGTCTTCATGCATTAGAATTTTCATTCATTGACTATTTTCTAAGCTTATATCTAGTCATCACTTTAACCACTCACCAATGCCCTTGCCCATTTATTCATATCCTCCTCCATCTCAATCACAGATCTATATTCATCACCCAACTGTGGTCCTCTCTCTAGAGACTGGGGACAGAGGTCAACACAAATCCAGGGCCTCCAGTGGAGCAGCCTTGATGGGCAGACTCTCTGTCACCGTTTCCATGCTCCAGTTCATTCACACTCTGTCTTTCCTGCCAATGCAGGGCTGGGCACCTTCTACTTTCCTTTAGCCCCACCCACAAAGGAATCGCCCTGGTAGCTGGTGTTTCACTAATCTGTTATGAAATGCAAGAAGGCATTTCTCCTCCCTCCCCATCTCTCCCACACTTCTCTGTTTATCTTATTGTATCTCTAGCATTAGACTGAACAGAGCAGTACTAGACAGAATCCTGAGACTCTTCTCAAGAAGTCAGAGAAGTCTTAAGAGATTCCCATTTCTCTTTGTTATTTAAGGTTAAGAGATTTTGCCATAATCAAATAACTGAATAATATACAATATTTTTCCAATATCTAGTATATTTTTAAAATGTCATCATATGAAAAAAAAAACTAAAAGTTAAAAATGCCTACTTTGGTGTTCATTTCATTTAATTTTCATTTTTAACTTTATGAATTAACAGAAGCAAAACTCTGGGGCCACTCATCTAAAGGGAAATCCCTCCATATATACAAGTTGGAAATTCAAATTCAGCAGAAAACCTACAACAGTTGAAAGAGGCTACATGCTTACCCGGATGTAGGCATCCTGATGGTGCTTGGCGAAGTACAGCATGTTGTCCAGAGCTAACATCCCAGGAGGGGTCTGGGTAAAGTCCATGGCGGGGTTGACATGATTCTGTGATTAAAACAAAAGGTTTGATCAGGTTAGTTCTTCAGTAGATTTCATCAACAACCACCAGAGGTCTGGTTTCTCTCCACAAGACCACAAAGTACCACAAGGCAAGCTCCAAATAATCAAGTAGGACATTTGCTGTCTCCATGTGAGCCTGTTGGGGTGGCGATGGGGGCTTCTTTCTACAAGTGCATCAAAACCAGCTTCTAGACCCAGGGTTGGGAGACTCAGCTGCAAATCAAAATATGGGATTATTCTCAGACATGTGACACTGCAAGAAAAGAAATAATGCAAAAACAATTATTTCTGGTGGCTGTGCTCTACTGGAACCAATAGTATTTGGGAAGAAAGACCTGGGATAAAGCTGTATGTCTGCCATTTACCTTTCTGCACCTTAACTTCCTCATCCTCATGAATGAGGGTAAAGTATGGTCACACCAGTCCATGGTGTTTATGAACTGTCCAGACTTACAGATCTCTGCAGACACAGGACTACAAAATTCAGATGTTCACAGAGGCCTAACATCTGCCTACTTCCAGGGAGTGCTCTGGCCTTGTCACCCACACAGTGTCAAGAACCACACACACACACACACAAAACACCCCACAATAGTTATAAATATGCCCAACAAATTGTCCATATGCTCAAGATTACTCAGTAAACACCACCAGAGACTCCTAGTCAGGGCAATAAACCACTTTCCACAGCCAACTGTCAAAAATGATCACCAACATCTGTCTTGAAAATTCAGATCTAAATGGCTAATGGTTTGGGGGGCTTCCCAGGTGGCACAAATGGTAGAGGACCCACCTACCAATGCAGAAGATATGAGTTGAGTTCCATCCCTGGGCTGGAAAGATACCCTGGAGGAGGGCATGGTAACCCACTCCAATATTCTTGCCTGGAGAATCCCATGGAGAGAGGAGCCTGGGAGGCTATGGTCCATAGGGTTTTACAAAGTCAGAGATGACTAAAGCAACTTAGCCCATACGCAAATGATTTGAGGGAAGTCACTTTTCTGCTAAAGAGATGGAAAAGAAATGCTGAAGAGGTATTAAAGAAACTACTCTTTCCTCATAATCTAGGTAATTTGTATGAAAGAATATATTTTTTTGTTCCTGAATACTTCTTAATAAACAGTCTGAATCTTTGATCTGCCAGAGAAATTTTGGTCAATGGTGACTTTTTTCTAATTTACATACAGGAAGAATCTTTTGTTCACTTGTTCAAACAACCCACACTTTTCTACCTCCTTCAAGAATACACAGAAGTTGTCTTTTCCATGCTGATTTGACATTGTTTTATGAACTAATAACATCTAAAATTATAGGACAGTGGCTGCCTACTGGCCATAGTTCCACAATTTCCAGAAATCTCTGTCCATATCCGTAAAGCAATTTGGGCCAGTGTAGTGACTTCAATATTTTATTTTAGCACTTTAACCTGATTTGTTTGTTAAGATGTTGAAAAAAATTTTAAATACCAAAGTACTACTAGTTAGGATAAGAAAGATATATTTCATAAAATAAATAAAATTGTAACAAAAATGAAAATCATTGAGCACATCAAATGCAGTGAGATTCAGCCTTAATCTGATACTCACTGGTATGCCAGAGTCAGACCTGTATTCAAAAGTGGGGAGGTGGGTGAAGCAAAATGCTGAAAATAAATGATCAAAGATGTAGTCTACTTGCAATGAAAATCTTGTAATATTTCCAGTTCTTTAGAAGAGAATAGTAGGACTGCCCTCATTATGTGTACATTTTTATTTTGACTTGAATGTATTCAATTTTCAAGAACACAAATAACATACAAATGTTACTATCTGCTGAGTACTCTTAAGGGCTAGCACTAGTTTGGGTTTCACTAGGGTTCTCTCATCTAATAAACAGGTGGTGGGCACTATTGTTATCCTCATTTTGTTAATTTTTAATAATACAATGCTGTTTTGTTTTTTCTTAATTCTGGAGTAGAAAACTCCAAAATTCATCTCATATTTTTTCTTAGGTGTACATTTTATTGAAGTATAGTTGATTTACATTATATTGATTTCAACATTTAAAGTTATTATAAAATATTGGCTATATTCCCTGTGCTATACAATGTTCTTGTCTATTTTATTTTATTCATAGTAGTTTGTATCTTTTAACCCCATATTCCAATTCTGCTCCTCCCTGCTTCACTCTCCCCACTAGTAACCACCAGTTTGTTCTCTATATCTGTGAGTCTTTTTCTGTCTTGTTATAGTCATTCATTTGTCTTATTTTTCAGATTACACACATAAGTGATAGCATACAGTATTTGTCTTTCTCCATCTGACTAATGTCATATCCTCCAGGTCCATTCATGTTGTTAAAAATGGTGAAATTCTATTTTTTTTTATGGCTGAGTAGAAATCCATTGTATGTATATATATATATATGTGTGTGTGTGTGTGTATACACACATATATCTACATCTATGCCACACCTTCTTTACCCATTTGTTTGTGGTTGGACACTTTGGTTATTTTCATATGTTGGCTATGCTGCTATGAACACTGGGACACATGTATTTTTTTGAATTAGTGTTTCAGTTTTCTTTGGATATATACCCAGGAATGGAATTGCTGGGTTATATGGTAGTTCTATTTTTAGATTTTGAGGAAGCACCATACTGTTTCCCATAGTGGCTGCATGAATTTTATTGATGAGGAAACTGCAGCTCAGATGAGATAAGAATGTTGCCCAGGAACTTGCAACTTGAACTTGGAAGTGCAGGCAATGTCTTGCTTGGACAACAAGTTTCCACATGCTTTTGTTTCTACTTTTCTCCTTTATATGTTGAACGCATTTATTTTAGTACTATTAGCCATTTATACTTTATATAGCCTGAGAAAAGTTTGAGAAAAAAGTAGGCTAATCAATATTAGCTGCTACACAGCGTGGTCGAGCCAACACAGGAGAGTGTGCCAAATAAAAGAGAAAAACATGACATTTACTTCAGACTTATTTCTAGTGTTGGTCTATGAATCTATTCCAAAAATAAGTATATGGAAAGACAATTATCTGAAAAAGAAATTAGTTTCTCTGAATCTAGTTTGAACAACCCTCCAAGGCTCTGTGTTCATAAAGCTGACCAAGGAGAAGGCCCTGTGGGTCCAGGGTCATCCTCTTGTTTGAAGAGTGCTCTCAGGACCCCCCAGAAGCCTCTTTCAGTCAATTACACACTTCCTTAGGCACACAATGTGGGTATCAAATAGGGCATTGCTGTTTTCAAAGGTCTTACAGTAAAGAAAAAGTATATTTTTATAGTTCTTTTAAAGATTCATGTGGCTATTTAGCAAATAGTCCCAGTAAAATAATGCCTGCTATATGCTAGGTGTTATATAAAGCACCTTGAAGATGCTAACTCTTAATCCCCAAAAAATTCCCACAAAGCGGGTCTTATTATTTTCCTCCATTGCCAGTAAAAACCTGAGGCACTGACAATCTGGGTAGCTTGCCGAGTTTTAGAGCCAGAATGTGGCAGCACCAGAATCTGAACTAAGGCCACAGGCTTTAAACCAGGATTTTAGTGTCCAGTTGCTGTTAAACCAGACACCTCTGGAAATTTTACAAAGATGTCCAATGCAGGTTCTCAGTTGTAGTTTTCTTCAGTCAACGCTTTGTTCAAACAGGCAAAGTGGGTCTGTGAGCCATCCTTTTCAATAAAATTTCTAATTTCTCCATCCCTCCCAGACATAATAGACCAGAGTCTCTCTCATGTTCAATAAACCAGGTCTTATTGTCTCCAACAAATATGCTCTTATTAACAAAAGTCAATTAGAAAATTGCCTTTGATCTTCTATGACTTGCTCTAAATTATGACGCGTCACTGCATTTTAGATTAAAAAATAACTTGCCTTTTGAGTGAACTATACTCTAGTTTTTTTCCTGTCTTTTTAACTCTAGGTATCATTCTTCCAGCCTCTCTCTCCTTGAAATGATTCTTTCCTCTTTCTCTTTTGGTTTTAACAGCCAGTGAAATTATTTTACAAGCATAGATTCTGATAATGGAAAAAGTATAAGAATTACTTGCCAAAACATTTGAGAGCTCTCTATACCGTGACGAAAATAATCTGAGAACCCAGCAAGGCCAACAATTCCCCTATTCCTTCCTTATTTATGATATGCTCTGGATACAGATTTATTTTCTTTTCTTGTTCCATGTTATTTTTTTCCCACCTGTCTTGAAATGGAAGCTGCAAGTGCTTTGATAAATGACTTGAAAATTTCCCTTGTTTTACTGCAAAGCCTGTGTACCTCTGTACATCCTCCTGAAATGCCATTTGTTAGAGCCTGTAGAAGTGCTGCTCCCTGAATCACATCAGACAGCTCTCAGCCCCTGGAGAAAGGCAGAGCAGCCACTTGCGTTTCCAAGGCACCAAGAATTTTCACTTTGGGAAAATGGTACCAACGAACTGAAGATAGCCTGATTTATTTTATAGCGAGCACCCTACGTACAGTTTGTGGTTAGTGTTCCTAGAGATGTGTTTCTCTTCTGTTATCCTCATGCCACTTTTTAAAGTTGAATTGTTTCAATCACACATCCAAGGTCTAAGACAGAGAATCTTTAAATCTGTTCCAGGCCCAAATCACTGGAGGTCACTGGAGAGTTGTGGACTTCATATATAAGCTAGGCTGGTCATCTGATTTTGTAGTTAAGAAAACTAAGCACCTAGTGAACAGTGGTGCTCCAACTTAAGCAGGCCTCCAAACCAAATCTCCTGAAAGCTCTGCTGAAGCACCAATTGCTGGCCCCTCTGATTCAGGAGGACTGGAGTAAGGTCCAAGGATCTGCATCTCCTAACAAGTTCCCAAGTGACGCAGATGCTGCCGGTTGGGGACCATAATTTGAGACCTACTGATGACTGCAATGACTCATCTCAAATAACACAAGTAAAATCAAAGTAAGATCTCAAATCCATATCCACTCATCCCCTGAGTCCCATGCAGCTTCCCTAAGTATCCCTGAGTCCCAT